TATATAATAAATTGAACATAAAATTCAATCAGTTATTTGAAATTCTAATGCCGCAAACCTTGTTTCTAAAATGTAAATTTTGTAAAAATCTTAAGTAAAATGAATGGAAAATATGCTTAGGAATTGTTTGTTTGTATCAGTTTTTCAAATAACAAGAACTACAGGTCTTGTTACTAAAAAAAACAAAAAATATGCCCAACTTATTTCCCAAATATAACACCTATCGGTTGTCAAAATCTAGATGTAATTAATATTAATCAATTTTCGTTTTATCTTTCTCTCTTCTTTCCTTAAAAGACTGTGATTTGGATTTAGTTTTCTGTGAAAAAAAAAAATATATCAATAATGAATGATTAGAGTAAAACTTAATGATTTGCAAAAATCGAGACTTGTGTATTAGGAATATCCAAATTTCGTGTTTAGAGTACCTCAGATGCTAATGAGTTTTTGAGAAAGTTGTAATTCTCAATTCCGAATTAGATCCAATTGCATCAAATGGAAATTGGCAGATAAGACTGAAGTTTAAAAAAAAAATTAAAAATTGAAATCATTTTTCGAAAGTGTGTGTTTTTATAATAATTTCATAGTGCTGTGTTTTCGTTCATTAAAAACGAAAAATATACCGAACTTGATGGAATAATTCACTCCACTTCATTTCAAATAGTATTACACTATTTGCTGGTAGAAAAACAAATGTTATTGGATTTTTAAATACTTGTAATTGTAAAAAAAACGAAGAAATAGCAAATCTCGATTACATTTTTATATAGTTTTGTAATATTAGAAACAATTGAATATAATACTTTTTTTCTGTACTAAATGGAAGTGGGAAATGGGAGTTTTCTTTTTTTTTTTGCCGTTAGCATTAAAAATTGAAATCATTTTTCGAAAGTAAGTGTTCTTATAAGAACTCATTCCACCTCATACCAAATAGTATTACACTATTTGCTGGTAGGAAATCAAATGTTATTGGATTTGAATATAATTGTAAAAAAAAAACGGAGAATTAGCAAATCTATATTGTTATATATTATATTGTTTTGTACTATTAGAAACAAGGGAAGATGAAACTTTTTTTCTGTACTAAATGGAAGTGGGAAATGGGAGTTTTTGGTTTTTATTTTAATGAATTGTTAAACAGTGTGCTTTAAACACATTGTTGCGGCAGCCACAAACAATTAACTTTGGCAACAAACGAGTACTACAACAATAACAACAGCCGCAGCAGCAGCAGCAGAATTAGTGGCAGAGGCAACAAAAAAGGCAACTGCAGCACATACCGATACCGACCGAGCTTTAATAATAAGTCAGCGTCGCAGCGACTGGGCGACGGCTGCGCCTGCGCCTGCGCCGTCGAACTTCACCTCATAAACAAATTCTCAGTAAGCGCGCATTGTTTTTGCGGTCGCCGCTGCCGCCGTCGACGACAGCAACAGCAAGCAATAGTTGTTGCTGTTGTTGTTCAACGCTTTATGACGGCTGACGGTTGTTGTTTTAAGTAATTTCATTGTTGTTGCTGTTACTGTTGTTGTTGTTGGTGGTGGTGGTGTTGCTGGCGCGGCTGCCTTTTCGTTTCGTTTCTGTTTTGTTTTTTCTTGAAAGCAAAAATTAAAAAAACCAATAACAAGCAAGGCGGCAGCCGTCACAGCAGCAGCAGCAGCAGCAACAGCAAGAGCAACAGCAACGGCAGCAGCGCGGCAGCAGCAGCGGCACGTAGTAATAAAAATAAGAAAGAAAAAAAAAACAAAATCCCTGGCAAAACACGCCAACCCAACGAAACTTTGTTGCTGCGGTTTTTAGTTGCCAACGCGATTTTGAATGAGTTGTACGCGCCGCGATCTTAAGTAAACGATCGAGCAGCTCGGGAAGGAACAACTGCCACGATTCGATAAAAACAAAATACGATACTTGGGCTACACCTGTCGCGGGAGCCGCCAAAAGTGTCAAAAGCTGGTCGAACTTTTTTTTTTTCGTTTCAAATATTTTTTGTTATTGTTATTTCTGTTAACTTAATATCACATTTGTGTGAAATCCAATCAGCCATAGCTAAGGGCGCACGATAAAGGATCAAGCAGGTAGGGAAGCTTAAGCTGTGCCAAAAATGTTTAAATTTTAACTAAAAGAGTGTCGATTATATTTTGTTTTGCCACAAAGAAGTTTTAAAAGTGGCTTCAGCTGCTTCGATATAAAAGTTAATTCGTACTTACATATTGTTTAAATGAGCTTACTTAGCAGTCCCTTACGAATAACGAATAACGACTTCTTTTGAATTGGCATTCAAGAAACCGGCACACAGGCCCCAACGTTCAAGCATTCCAATCAAAAATTCCACTCAACGTACGAACGAACGCACAGTGGTTCGGCTTGAAGCTGGAATTAAGAAACACACAAAATTATGAACAAAAGTGTAAAACACTTTATTATTTGTCTCCAGTGTTTTAGAGTATAAAATAAAATTAAAATTTCATAACTGGAGTGGTTGATGTGTGAACGAAATTAAAGAATTATTTTTTGTTCGCATTTTCCATAACATTTTATCGTTAGAAGATTTCAGTCTTTAACTGAATAATAAAAACAGCAAACGATTTAAAAGAGATTCCAAATAAAAAAATGCCCATTGAATAAAACTCAATTGCAATTCAAAATTAAAGCAGAGAATTTAATATTTGAGAAAAGAGGAAAAAAACATCCTTAATTTGTAGGCCGCTTATATATTTCGCAAAATTTTACGAGTTAAAAATTTGTGGATTGTTTTTTGTAAATAAGAAAACACAGAGTAATACACTTCTTTCTTCTCAATTCAAATTCTACAATATTCAAACAATCAATTCTAAGCTTGATGGCATTACAATGGAAATAAAACAAATTTTTAGCTTTAATATCTTAATGATCATAAATAAGAGCTGTTATTTAAATTCTCAAAAGCAATATTATATTTAAATTCTTTATTGTTTGGTTATTTCAATTAATTTAGTTTCGAATTCTATTTCTATTCTCTTTCTGTCTTAAGCAGAGTAATTAAAAATTTCGAATATAATTATCAAATGAGTTCGGGGAAAAATTCGAACCAGGTTCAGGAAAATCAAGAATCACTTAGACTACAAAGTCTTATCAATAACAATAATAAATTAAACTTTTGTTGGCAAAGCATATAAATTATATCAAAAGATTGTGACTTGAGCTTCAAAATGCTAACTTAGCCAGAAGACTTTGTAGTGGAATGATTATAACCTGACTTTCTGGCGGGATATATCAGCATTTATTCAATGGAAATCTACACAGCGTCAAAATTTCTACGCAGTCCGCTAAAGAATTGATTACACCTCGCTTAAAAAATAATAATAATAGTAAGAAACAATTTTTTTTGGTAAAATGTATCAAATATTTTTTGTTCCGAATTTTTAAAAGATAATTCTTGCTCAAGAACGCTTTGTATTTTGATGGGAAGTAAAAAAAGACAATAATCTGATAACCTATTTAGGAAAAATTTGAAGAAAAGATTTTAAAAATCTGTCTTCAGCGTCAAAGTTTCCCGCTCAGTCAGATCGAGAGTTGACAAAATTTGGCTGATTTGGTTTTCTTTGAGCGTTGATTGTTCGTGCTAGGATGGCTTGCCTGTAGCTGGGATTGTATTCTTTGTGCCCGCCTCCACCTTCAAGAGGCGCACAGTTTCAAGTGTAACCAGTTTTTCAAAAATTTTGCCAGGCAGCTGAAGTTGCCGGAGGCACTCGCCCGGCCGAGATTTCAAGTTCCACTTGGCGGGGCTATTCAAATGTAAATCTTGTTCTAAGCAACGTGTTTCTTTATTTTTCTTAGTTGCTGTTATTGTTATTGTTGTTGTTGTTGTCCGTTTTCTTCATCATCTTCGGCAGTTGTTGTCATTTTTTTTGGCATTTTTATTTGCATTTTTCTTATTATAATGTTTATTGGTTTTGTGGCAAAGCTTTTAACCAGCACAGATCTGGGTACCAAAAAAATTGTTTAAACTTAAATGTCAAGCTCTGCCTGTTGGCGTGTGTTGTTTGAAATTGTTGATGCTGGTGTTGTTGCATTTGCTTCTTCATCTTCATCATCATCTGTAATGTTGTGTGTTGACAAGATTTGTTTTTACTTTTTCATCTCTCTGACTATTTTTTGTTGTTGTCTTTTTCTATTTTTCTCAAAAGCAAGCAGCTAACTGTAAATCTATGAATGCTGTGCAACGGTCAGCGATAACAACAGCAACAACAACTGGAAATAGGACACAATAACAACATAATAATTGCAGCAGCAGCAGCAGCAGCAGCAGCAGCGGCAGCAGCGGCAGCGGCTTGGAATGCAAGTATCAATTGCATAAAAATTGAAAACAGATATTGGTGGCCGCAGCACATGGAATTACAAATGCAGCTGTAGGCAGGCAGAGCGACAAGAGCGGACAAACAGACAGACAGACAGACAGATTGATAGTTAGATAGATTGATAGAATGGCGGCAGCAGCAGTAACAGCAACAACAACAACCACAACAGCCATGGAGCAACGCCAAAGGCCGTTGCGCGGCATTTCAATAATTATTGAATCAGAAGATGCCACAAAAACTTTAGCGGAGCCGGCGAGTAGCAGCAACAACAGCAGCAACGTTGCTGAAATGTCGCTCAAGTCTCAGGCTATGTTTTTGGCATTTGAAGACAACAACAATATGCAACAACATGCGAGGCAACCGCCACCTGAAGCTGACCATGCAACCAAAGCTGATTTTGAAACAAGTTACAGCACGATAGCAACAACAACAACAACAACAGTGGCAACAATAGCAACAACAACAGCAGCAGCAGCAGCAGCAACGGCTGATACAACAACAACAACAACAGCAACAACAATAGCAACAACTGCAGATGCAGCTATAAAAGTATATCCACAGTTATTGCTGCGCATTGGCCAAGCCGGAGAAATTGTTGCTACTGAGGCGCCAATAACAACAACAACAACAACCACAGCAGCAACAACAACACCGACAACAACAGCAACGGCAACAGCAGTAGCAACAACAACAACCATTATCAGTTGCAATAATGAAGTTGAGAAAGGTCCGAGCCATGTGGCAGATAAACACAATGATGACGATGTTAGAAACGTGTTACGAGACAACATTGTCGGAGAAATTGAACAGTCGATACAAGCGCCATCGGAGGCCGAGTCGCCCCATTCGCTCATCGCTCTCAGCGATGTCGGCCGCATTGTCGTTGCTAGTCAGCCGCGTGCAGTGACCGAAACAGTTGGCGTCTGCACGTCCAAAGATACACAGCAGCACACAGTTAAGATACAGATAGCGAATGGTGCTCAGCGCAGACAGGCGCTTGGCAAGCAGATTAGCGTTGTCAAATTGAACGAGGAGCAGCAAATCAACAGCAACAGCAACAGCAACAACAACAATATGACAACAACAAGCACACCATATCAGCTGTGCTACAGTCTAGTCTCCAGTGGTCAGTATTCGCCATGCGAAACCCTAGACAGCGGCACTGGCAGCGATCTGGAAAGCATCAAATCACCGGGGGCCGGCGATGATAATGCCAGCCACAATGGCAGCGATCGACCGCCAACGCTTCAACTCCATCTGAAGACAACGAAAATACGCGTAAATAGTTCGCCATCGGCCTATAGTCTAACCGATAGCGAGGAGGGGGATGTGTCCAGCACCGGTTCTAACGATTCGCTGCACTCCAATGAGTATACAGTGCCAGCGCGATCGTCCACAACGATCACCACGTCCCATAGTCGCCGATTAATGGGCTCATTGCTGCCCGATTCACTGCTCAGGGATATACGGGATAAACGCGATCAGGACCAGCGACCAGCCACAACCTTAGACTCCAATAACTCCTCACTCGACTCTGTCGTTGACGGCGACGGCGACGACGACGACGGCATGGGGGCCGCTGAGGATTATGTCAAGATTGTCAAAATGAACGGCCGACCCATGAAATACGAGGCCGACCAATACTACACTTTTCATGTCAACGAGCACGCGAATTTCCGCAGCTTCGGCAATAATACCACCAGCAATCAACTCTCCCCAGACTATGACACCTACAGTCTACAGAGCGGCGGCGGCGGTGGCGGCGCAGAGGATGCCTTTGTCGGCTACAAGGATGTCCACAACTGCTCCCAGCCATCAACCATACGCTCCTCCAAGGGCACAGTTCGGGGAGTCAAGAATCGTGTGCGCAATGGAGTAGCCACATTCTTGCAGCTACAGCAACCCAATGGAAAGGTGAGTGCATCCATTATTATTTGATAATTTAAGCAAAGTCACTCATGAATATAGGGCTCATAGATTGAACGATTTCGAACGCGACTCAGGCCAGCTTTAATCGAAAATCTCCATTACGAAAATTCCTTTCGGTATTCCATATTCAATGTGAATATTTAGTTTGACCTTCTTTAAATATTTTTAGCAGCATTCTTGCGAAGTGATTCTTAATTAATTAATACTTTAAAAAAGAGGAGCCCTCTTTAGGGTTTGCTGCAAGGTATTGTAGTCCATATTGCTCCCAAGTTTATTTCTAGCTATCATCTCTTTAAATAGTCGAGTTTATTCTTTAACGTTACGCTCATTAATGGTTTTGGAAAATGTAGAAAAGTTGAAGTCAATGCAAAACTGCTCATTAAATACTCAGCAGGATCATTGGAAATGACTTCAAGACTATATTGTGCGGATCAATAAAAAAAGTGTTACTTACATATAGTTATTCTTTTATTCGAGAACTTTGTAAAGATGTTTTATTATTATTATTCAATTTTAAGACAGGTTGACAGAGGCATATCATTTCTATATAAGCAAGATAAAGCAACGGATTTAGAAACTACAAGTATATGATTTGTAATGAATTCCATAAATAGCTCAGCTTAAGAGGTAAGCTGTCGAAATACAAGTCTTTAGAGATATTCCTTCTCAACTTTATTAGTTTTTATAATAGTTTATTTGTTTTGGCTAAATATTATTAGATCATTATTTGGGATTCATCTGGGATTTGGCGGAATTTCTGAAATTCTCCGAATAATGTCGCATAAATTGGTTTTTATGTGTTTTGGAAAACTAATTATAATCAGTAAATGTACAGTTTATTTTTATGAGCGATTGTTGAACCCGTTGTTACCATATGAATCAAGAAGAAACACATTCTTTCGGTTCTCAATTTGAAGAACTTTTTGATATTTTTGGAGCTCAGGTTTGCATTGATTCTCACCTTTTGTTTTTAAAATATTGCTTAGCTTTTATCGAACTATATGTAGGCTTTGAAAAACACACTCCAATGAGATACAAACATACATACATACTCGGCTGTTGAATATTCAATATCAATATTTTCTTGTAAACATAATGTAGAGGCTCTGCGAGCGATCAAGCATCGAGTTTATCAAAATGAACCGCCTGGTAAATTCCATTTCACAAAATAATTATTGCTAATTTAAGGCTGATCTCAAAATAACTAATATTCAGCAAGAGGCTATAAAAAGTAACAAGCTTAACATGTTTAAAATTAGTTTGGTTATAGTTTTAAACGCAGTAGTCAAAGGGTTAAAGGGTATACTAGAAAGTCTAAAAGCCCAGTGCAGTAAAGCGTGTTAAAGGAGACATAAAAAAAAGCTTAGAATACATATATGTTATCAGCATGACGAGACGAATCGATATAGCCGTTCGTCTCTCCGTCTATCCGCTTGTTCCACAGTACGTCTGTATGAACTCGGATAATTTTGGAGCCACACTTAATATGTAGACTGATCTTATCCAAGAGCAGTTAATGACAAATCATGTAAACCCACATTATTTTGTATAGCTGCCATAGGAACAAGTAGTGCAAAAATCACTCTTTTGTTTTTAAAGGTATTCTAAGAAAATGCAATATTAATACGTTTTCTACAGCGGCTCACTATAATCTGAACTATCATCGAAATTGGCGCATAGTTTCGTCAAAATCGGTGCACTATATATATCATATAGATGTATGAATGATTGCTGGAAATATTTATTTTATTTGAATGACTATAGCGGGGAAAAGTTTGACGGGAGAGTTCCAAAGCCAGTTAATCAGGCTTTGTTTGTTGAAAAAAAAGACCATTGATATACAAATAGTTGTTGAAGCAATGCTATGTATGTAAGAGATTTCTTTTTACATATAGCTGAGTTTTTTTTTATTTTAATAATAATAAATGTAATTCACACCTAATATAAAATAATCCATTGTAGTGGCAATTTTGGCAACACCTCAACTCTATCGCCGAGAGTGTGGGCTGCTGGTGAACGGTATATAGGAGAGGAAACTTTTGAGATCTGCCTGTAATAGCGTAAAGTTCATTGCATTGTCGCATGATAATAAGGCAGCATTATTTGTTTTCCATTTACCCACTTGTTGTCGCACTCGGCTCATTCATAAATGAGTATTCGTATGAGTATTCGTATGAATGCATTTTGAAGATTCGCCGAAGCTGTGGTTGCATGTCAATTGGCATTGTGTGGGCGTTTCAAAAGAGACACAGACATACCATCTGGTTGGTGTGTTTGTGTGTGTGTGTGTGTGTGTCTCACGTCAGCACAAAAAAAAAAACAAAATGATAAAAAACTTTCGACAGACAGGCCCCACCATTTCCCCCCGCCCTAAAAGTCTTACCACATGCATTACTCACGTTTTGGGTGAAAGTGAAATGAAATGTTGGGTAAAACAACATTTGATTCATACAATAAATATCAAATAGCAACCACAGCAACAGCCATAGCAACATAATATTGGTCAGCTAATAAATTGTTTGGGTCACACCAAAAAAAAAAAAAAAATTGTTTAAAAAATTAACCAACAGAAACTTAAAGGCAGCGAGAAAGAAGAAGGAAAAAAAATGAAATGATAATAATAATAATTAACACCTTACTGTCTATTTAGAGAACGTATAATATTTGTATGGTTTCGGCCTGTCTGTCTGTCTGTCTTTTCGCTACTGTTTTCGTCTCTCAATTTACCGTTAGCTGTCTTAATATAGCATGTTGTCCCAACGCCCCAATTGCCCGATAAGCCGAAGCTCGACAGCGAAAGCTAAATACTTATGTTTACCTTTAGGTTGATTGTTGATGATGTTTGTAGGGCCCTGATTTGGTATCAGAATTTCCATAAAAGTATACACACACACACACTAACTATGTCTGTATATAGAAGTCGCCGCATGGGCTTAACTGACTGAATCGAGAAAGTTGCAAGTTTCGCATTGTCTGTTGACGGAAGTAGATAAAGCCGATAGCGCATCTTAAATGGGCCGCTCGGCCCTGCTAAAGGTGACTAATTGTGGCTGTCGATCTGTGGAGCTGTTGAGCTGAGTTGATCGCATTTAATTGTTGTCTCTTTTCTGTACTCTTCATTTCTAAACAGCAGTTGACTTTCTTTGACTTCACACTAATTGCTCTTGGCTACAATAAACAAATAACAAATAAAAAAGAAAAAAGAAACAAACAAACACTAGTAGTTATAGTAGTTATAACAATAATAATGTTCTGCACTTTAAAACGAAACTTCAGCAGCAGCAGCAGCAGCTTGTCACGCAAACCACAAATCTAGGCCGACCAGTGGCCTATTTAAGCAATTATAGCATATGTATGAACAAAAAGTGTTGAGCAAGATTAATCACAACAACAACAACAACAACAGCAATAGCAACAATATTCAACCATATTCAAAATGCAGCATTGAAAGAAATTGCATTTGCCACGGACCATTGCAAATTGTCGAGTCATCGATTCACGCACACAGGTCCGTAATGGGCTAAAGGCAGCAGCGCCACTTGCCGCCGCCGCGGCACACATCGCGTTCCAATATATCGGCACAGATAGCTGGCATTATGCTGTGTCAACATGAATTAGCAATTATTTTTATTGTTCAACACGCATTTTGTGCGGTTTTTTTCCTTATTATTTCTTATGAATAGAAAAAAAAAAAAACAGCCAAAAATCGATTGCAATCAATAGCAGCTGAGACAAAGCTGTAAGAGCATTTTTATGATTTGTAACTAACCATAGCACAAGTAGCTCTATATATAGCTCCATACATAACAGTCGCTACATTACATTGAGATTTAGGTTTGGTTTTATTTGAAATTTGATGATGGCTTAGAAATGCTCTTCGCAGCAAAAGCCAATTGTTTCGATAAACATCGGTTTCCAAATAAATTCTTTTGGTTCACTTTAAATTTGGTTCAATATTAAAATACTCTTGCTTAATTTATTATTGCTTTTTCAAAATTATTCACTTTAAATATGATTTAGAAATGCGTTTGCTTCTTAGTTGCCAATTGTTTCGATTTACTGCGGACTAAGCCAATGTTTTGAATTAGATTATTTAAATTAACTGCAATTGAATCCAATTGAATTATTTCGATAAACTTCACAGAGAACCATTGATTGCATCCTTAAGAGATCAAATATGTTGACAAAAGGCTTAATTTTGTTGTCCTTTTTACAAAATTATTCACTTCAAATATAATTCTTATGATTTAGAAATACATTTGCTTTTGAATTGCCAATTGTTTCGATGTACTTGAAAGCCCCATATTTCAATTCAAGCATTTTGATAAACGCTATTTGATTTCAATTCGATATCCAGCAACCCCATGCAGGGTCGCGCTTTAATCACGTTATCATAAAATTAAATATATAATGCAAGATATCTTACAAATCGTAATATGGGTAACAAAAAAGCAATAAGGTCTTCAACAAGATGAATGAAGAATCAAATTCAATGTACAATCAAGTACAAAATATTTCAAGTATTCCTAAAAATTCATTTATTTCCTATATATATTATTGATAAATTCATTATACTATGTTACTATGTTTGGAACAGTTCCTCAAATTATGATTATTTCAAGAGTTGCTTAACCCTTTGTGAAGAGCCCAACAAAAATATAATGCTGTTCTAATTTATCAGTCAACAAGAAAAAAGAAAAAAGTAGATGGAAAGGCACTTCTGTTTTTCGTCCACACATAATATCAAATATTGCATGAAACAAATCTTAAGCTGCTTACCATCGAAATTTTTTATTTAAAAAAATTGATTTTGCTTTAAAAAAGTACACAAAACTAAAGCTAGCTTAATATAAAAAATCTGTTTATCTGATATATGAATCTATACATATATTGTGAGTGTATAGCTTAGCTTAACTCTATTATTAAATATTAAAGAAAAAATTGCAAAGAAAACTTAAATTATAATGGAAAAATTTTGAAGGAGA